CCTTGGTTTTCTCTACTCTAATTTCTTTGGTTGTTGTTGTTGTGCTAATTCCCTTGATTGTTAGAATTTTCTCAACCGCCTTGGTTATTTTGTGGTCGCCATTGTTGTTGATTGGAGCCTTGGAAATTGTTCCTTTGCCCTTAGTAATTGTTCACAAATTGTACATCTTCCTCTTGCTCATGATAAGAATCATCTTGATCAAAACTACCATCATCTTGTGCATAAATCTCCACTCGGGTTTGAAATATTGGACCCTTGATCCTCTTCTTGTTGACCAACACATTTACCCCTTCCATAGCATGAACTTGCTTAGGATCTTGAACTTGATTAAGTTGGGCCTTGGCAAGTTGAGTCATAGTTGTTGTCAATTCGGCAATGACTTGCCCATGGTCTTGAAACTCTTTATGGAGGTGAATCATGTTAGGATCACCTTGTGGAATATTAGCTCGGGATTGCCAAGCTGAAGACGTTTCTGCCATCTCATCAAGAATCTCACATGCCTCCGCATAAAGTGTTGTCATAAAATTGTCTCCGACCACATATTTGTTTGTAGTATTAATATTACAATATAAAGTTTGTTAGATCATGTTGCCAGTCATATCATTGTTCTGCCACTCCTTCACCATTGTCCGATACTACTCCCAAATTTCATGTAAAGTTTCATTGGGCGCTTGCTTGAAATCTAATATTTCATCCCTAAGAGTAGCCATATACCCGAGAGAGAAAGACTTAGCAATAAACTAAACTTTTCCGCCAATTCATCCCAAGTATAGATATGATTAGGCAAGCATTCCAACCAATCTAAAGCTTTACCACGTAGCGAAAAGGGAAAAAGCTTTAGCCTCAAAATATCTTCCAAAATATTTGTTTGCTCGCTCCCCCAACATGTATCCACAAAGCCCTTCAAATATTTATAAGCATTTTGATTTGGTGCACCGGTAAAAAAGCCCTGTTGCTCTAGCAAAGTGAGCATCACATTAGTAATTTAAAATTTTCCCGCCCTAATGCGACGGGGGACTATTGCACTTGCATAATATTCGTTGGGAAAAATTTGGTGTTATGCCGCTTGTGATTGTGGTGGTGGAGGTGGGGGCACGTTGTCTTGTTGACCACGGCCTCGGCGATTCGGTTGTGGCACTTAAGGCACATCATCTAGTTGTTCCTCCTCGCCGTCCAACTCACCCAATGGCATATTTTTGAGCTCATTGTTCGCCATTTTGTACCTACGATTGCTGTAACAAATTAGTAACACGGAAGGAAAAGAATATATTTCAATAACACACTCAAATATATAGCTAACACCCCTAAAACTTTTCTAGCAACGACGCCAAAAATTGATCCATATCCAATCCACACTCAATAATGAGTGAAAACGGTCGATGCAATTATAATACCCAATTAGAGTCGGGGTCGAATTCCTCAGGGAGTTTATGAAGGTTGTTAAGGTAAATACTTGAAAAGAACACGTGAAACAACTCAATTACGCTTCCAAACAAAGGGTGATTGTTTTCCAAATTAACACTAAGAGATTTAAGCTAATTAAAAGTAACTAGAAAGAGAATAATTATTTTTGGTATTTTTAATCAATTGGGAAAAAGCCTAGGGATGTAACCTTTACCTAGGTACAAACCTAATGGGTAAACTAAGTTAATACTTATTTTGTGGATCAGGGTGTATTATAACTCTCAATTCGTAAGTACTCACTCAATACCTCTCGGTCATAGAGTGGTTATGCCCAAATTGGATTTCTCAAGTCCAATTAGGTAGCAAACCAAACAATTGATATGAGTCCAAGTCGGGTTTTTCCCATTTCTAATTCAAACCCTTTAATTAAACTAGTCAAAACCTTAAACTAGCTCAATTCCTTGATAGCCAAGCTTTTCTAGACTAGGTTCCTCTTTCTCAAGTAAGAACTAAGTCAAATAGGCATGAATCAATGTTTGCAACCATTAATTCTAGAAATAATGCATAAACAAGGCTAAATAATAAATACCCAATCATAAACAAATATTAAAATTAATAACCGATAAGATTTACACACTAGGGTTGGGTCACAACCCTAGATAAATCTAGCTACTCATGCTAGAAAGCAAAGTAGAAGAAGTAATTAAAGCCATAGACTTTAATTAAATGATAAAACTAATGATTCTTTACCAATATTTGTCACTACTTTTCAAAAAGGATAAAATATAACCGGTACGACTCTTTTGAATACAAAACTTACCCTAAGAAAGTGTTTTCCGTCTATTTATAGTGCCCAAAAATTTACTGACAAAAATACCTTCGGGAGGTTCTGCGACCACACAACTCCATGTGCGGTCTGCACTTTGCTTCTTCTCATGAGGTTGGAGGAATTCTGCAGCCGCACAATTTCATATGCGACTGCACTTCAGCTTTTGCGGTCGCAGTTTTTAACTGTGGACTGCACTTTGACGAGGCTTCAGACTTTATCTTTTTGCACCCTCTCTAAATTTTCAAATCTTGTCAGTGCGACCAGTTTTTGCGGCCGCAAAATTTGGCGTGCGGACCGCACTTATAAAATCTCCTCTAAGGCTTCAGGTTTCTTTCTATAACCGCATATTGATTTCTGCGGTCTGCACTTTCTTCTGCGGCCGCTGAATTACTTCTGCGGACCGCACTTTGGCCTACATTTCTCCTTCTTGCCTTTTTGAGCTGGAATACTCCTTTTTTAGTTAGATTTCTTAGTTTAGCTCCAATCCTCCAACTTGCCTACAATTCATATGATTTCGTTAGCTTTGGGAACAAAAATCAATGCTTTCGGACTAAAACTAAAGCAATAAGGTACTAATAAGTGGTTAAAATTCACATTTATCAGCAAGCACTTTCACTGTTAAAATGACTGAAATATCCTTAAAATTGTTAACACTAAAAATGAGATTATTACTACAACATCCTTAATGTAAAATTAACTCAAATACAGACTAATTTATGTCTTAATTAACTCTAAATTAAACTAATTAGATAAAATTATTTTTAATAAATATAAACCGAATGCCAATAGAATTGCAACATGCTTTTGTTCTGAATATTCAACTACTAAATAAAATTATTTGTTTCTAGAGTGAAATGAAAAAAAACATAATAGAAGTATAGATTAATGTCAATAAAACTAATGCCTCACCCTTTGTGTCGTTTCTTTCTTTTTCCTCTGCTAGTTCTCGCATTTGTCTAATGTCAGGTAATTAAGGGTCTTATTAATTACTTATCACAGATAAAATAAAGCTACCTAATTTATTATAATAATGTGAAGAAAGATAACTCAACGTCAAAATGGAAGACGAGAAAAAAATGATGTTATGGCTTAATTAGTAAAGTAAGGGTATTTTGAAATTTATAAAAAGTAGCAGGGATAATAAGGTCAATTATTTGGTCAAATATAAAAAGTTTTTAAGCCAAAAAGAAATAAGTTAGATATCACAGCTTGTGTCTTTTGGCTTAATTCAGTTTAAAAGTACTTGGCTTAAAAGTTATTTTTAGGTTTCTCAAACACTCAAACAAGGCAAAATGTGTTTTTAAATTGGTTTGACCAACTTTTAAGCCAATCCAAACACCCTCATATAGTGTCAAAATAAAAAATAGTGCCAAGTTGAATGAGCTGTCTGTGTTTTTGGCCTTTTCTTTTTTATCAATAAATTATTTTTAGATTCGAAATTCTTCATTTTTTTCTCCCAATTTTTCACTCTTTCTGTGAGGCAAAACCTCACCATACTACACTACAATTCGACACAAGAGAAGATGATCGGACGCTTTATATCTTCGGGATAGGAATTGGCGGTCTTTTATAAGAGAACTTTAATCTAATACTCATTATGGATCAACTCATGTTTCCACTCTATTTTCATTACGAAAGTATCTCACGTCAGGATCTGTTGCTTAAACCGAATCATGCCAACGTTATTGAAGTTCCTGAATCATATAAAATAATAGTAGTACCAAAGACATCACTTCTATCAAAAAGGAAAAATTGGCTACGGAGACTCAAAAGTATTCATATATTGTGTTTCAAATTATCAATTAGAATAACGTATTATATAATTAAAAAAACAATGGATACTATCAACATACTCCCATACAGCACGTGTCTAAGGACTAACGTTAATTCAGTCATTGGTTTAGTCAAACTGTTCTCTTTTTTTTTTTTTGTCCTGTTCCAATAGTCAAAATATCTTACGTGAGCTAAACGTTTCTATTTAAGGCAAGATAAAATTAGTACTCCATCTGCTTCTAATTAGATGAAATATTTTACTTTTTAGTCTGTTTTAAAATAAAACTCTTTATTTTACCTATTTTATCCTTAATGAGAAATTTTTATAATTACATAAATGTCATGGCCCCACAAACTCATAAGTTTTTAAGACCACAAGTATTAAAAGTCTTTGATATCCCATTTTGAAATTGGTTTATTCAGCAGCAGCAAATGCTAGTTACAATATAGGTTCCAGCGAAGCCAATTTAGTCATTAGTAAAGCCGAAGTCAACGGAGGTACTACTGTGAAGAAATTGAAACCTCGAGCTCGAGGACGTAGTTTTCCAATAAAAAGATCGACCTGTCATATAACTATTGTAATGAAAGATATATCTTTAGATGATGAATATGTAGAGATGTATTCGTTAAAAAAAAGGAGATGGAAAAAAATTCTACAGCTATGCCGTATCGTGATATGTATAATAGTGGGGATTATGGGACAAAAAATAAATCCACTTAGTTTCGGACCGGGTACAACCCAAGGTCAGTCATTCCATTTGGTTTTCACAACAAAAAAATTATTCTTTTTTCTTAAACTCAATGTCGAGTCAAATTATCTCGTATAAATTGATACTGAGTGAGTATTCTATCTATTACTTACATCATAGATAGAATATTTAAATATTCTTGATTTAATATTTATGGGGAAACTTTCCACATTGTAAATTTTTTGAAGGCATTTAAATGAAATTTAAGAAAAAAGAAATTACAAATAGGCTGCATTTTACACACTTCTTCAAATTTGCTCCCGCTGCGTTTTCTGAGTTTGTCTACTTCTCAGATTATCCCAATTCCGACGCTCTTTTACTTTTTCTCCGTCACCTCTCCGGCTAGGTGATGTACTGATTTATCACGCTTTTTTGCTCACAGTTCGCTTAATGGTTTTACCTTTGCTTCTGCATGTGATTTTTCCAGTGCTTTTCTATACATTGGTTTTGTGTGTGTGCGCGTGTGTGTGTTTAGAAGCTTGTTTGAAATGACCTTTGGTGCAGTAGTTGCCATCGGCATCCCGATAAAGTATTTAAGGGCGTAGGAACCCCTTGATTTTACTCCCTCCGTCTCATTTCATGTAACTGGAAAAAAAAACACTTTTGAAACTTGTAGTATGGCTATAGAACGTTTGAAACTTTTTGTTATATACATTCATAACATGTGTATATGGCTATCAAAGCTTGTCATTAAGGGTGAAGAAAAAGTTCAGGTTAAATTGTTTCCAAATTTCGAAAGGGGTCATTCTTTTTTAAACAAGTTGAAAAGGAAATAGGGTCACGTAAACTGGAATGAAGAGGGTAACTAAAAAGAGAAATATAAGAAGAAATGCTTGTGATCTGGGAGTACTTTTTCTTTTAAACTAATGTCTCCCATATTCTTGATTTTTAAAAACTAACATTAGTCTTTTTGCCTCTATTGTACAGATATTTATGTTGGCTGTTTGAAAGTGAATGGATGAAACAGTGATTAGTCGTTGTATGTGGTTATCCAGCTGAAACAAGATTGACTGCATTGTTTATTTTGGGTTTTTTGTTTCTTGGAAATTGAATTTGATTGGATGGGGAAAGCTGGAATGCAGGATTGGGATCTAATGTATGATTTATGTTGTCTAAATAAAAAGAAGAAGAAGCATGATAGGGAAGGTACTGGGCTTGGTGATCATAAAGCACTGGAAAGATGTGTTCTTGTGGATCAAGATAATGCCAAGTTATCAACAAAGGAGGCTGACGTGGGAGCTGCCTATAATCGGGAGAATTCTAGTTGTAGTGATGTTGAAGCTGACCCACAATATATGACTTTCTTGGCTAATGCTAAGCCAGATGGAACGTCATATGTTCTTAAAGCTAGTGATCAGAATGGGTTGCCCGTGTTCCTGAAGTATGAGAAAGGGGACGGATCTGATGATGAGCACGAATATGATGGAGTTGAAAAGGATCAGAATAGCGTTAGGGAAAAGTACAAATTAGGGAGTTCAAAAGCTCTAAACACTTCTGCGAGAAAGAATAGAAATACCTCCGTAGTTGAGAAGCAGAATATGAAAGATGAGATTTTGAGTCAGAAGCAAAGGAGGGAAGATAGGGATTTAGTTAACAGAAAGCACAGTACTGATGTGAAGATTGTACCTGGTAAGGAGCAGAAGACACAGAATGGTAGCAAATTCATGGACGTGAGAGTAAAGACAGAACCAAATGAAGATTCTGATTGTAAGATTTATTTGCTTCTCGCAAGAAAACCTATTAACGAAGATTGCTTTCTCAAATCTTCATTTGGAAATAATTGTTATTTGGTTTATGAAGCTCTCAAGGAGGAGATCCCCCAAAGTGAAGTAGAAATTGTTCAGAACGTTGATGCAGAGTTAGGCATGGGCAGTAGCTCTAACCCCTTTGTATTTCCAGTGGAACATTGCGAGAATGTACTATTTCAATGCTTCTGCTACTTTCACTAGTTATTTTGGTCCCTCTCCTCCTCCCTCTTCTTCCTTTCTTTTATGTTACCTCTTAGTTTTGTTTCTGCATGATAACTCTTGTTACATTGGCGTCTAATTTTGTGTATCAAGCTGGAGGATCCCAGTCAGCCTATCAGCAACCCAAATGCGTCAATTATGAATTCTGGCTACAGGAAGGAGGTTCTGAATTTATTGATGAGACCCTATGATGATGAGGAGTATAAGAAGCTTTGGAAAGATATTAAGATGCCATGTAGCTCAATAAATAGACGTGGAACATCCCTTCTATCACTCCATAAAGGTAGGTTAACAACCTTAAGTTTGTTTCCAGCACTGCAGCATCCCTTTGCATTTTGAATGCTTCTCTGCGTGTTTGAATTTTTCTCAGGCCATGCCTTGGTTTCAAACTTTATGTAGTCACCTTTAAGATAGTATCCAATTCAATAGAATTCCTGCTTTCTCACTTTAGAGAATTTAAGAATAGTTCCTTGTCGTCTTCTTTCGCCTCAAAATGGACTGAACTTGCTAGCAAATGTTTACCCATCTGATTGAGAAAAAGTTACTTCTTCTTTGTTATTAGTCATCTCAGGGTGCTCTGAACCTCCCAAAAAGGGGGGGAAATGAAGAAAAAGTTCAGAACCCAAACAATCAAATAAAAGTGGGCGGAGTATATGGTAAATGATAGAAGCAATGTCGTCTCTAGTCTAGGCAGTTAAAGGGAGAAAAAAATGATGGAACAACTGCAAACAATGCAACTGTTTTAGAACTTTTAGAACAAGTGGAAACGTCTCATCTTGCTTTTCTTTTAAATTATCTTGAGCTTTTTGTATGCAAAAGTAACTCAAGTTCTGAACCTTTTGCTTAAAGATAGGCATAGGCCGCTTTTAATGTTATCTTCGTTCTCTTTCCGTTTTCATGTAGCTTGTAGAAGAATATGTTCTCCTTTTGTTTTCTCTACACTTTGATACTTCGTCTCATGTTTATCATTTGACTTCCACTAGGTGTGGAAGAGCAGAGTTGTTTTCATAGTGGTTCCAGAAGAAAAAGAACAAGAAAGATCAATGTTACCCTTTTAAATTGATTCAAAATTTCATATAAACGAGGCATGACTAATGTAACTTTTAATACAGTATTATATTTACACCTAGAGAAACGCCAATGGAAACAATAGTCATGTAAGGCAAGTGACCTTAAAAGTCATGTAAAACAGTGGACGAGTTGCGATTCCTAGGAAAGGAACTAGGAAAACATTTCTAGGAAGGAATAACTGTTTTCGGCGTCTGAAAACCCACACTGCAGACAGAACTTGCCAAATATTCTTGAGGTCATCGATAATCAAAATAGTATCTCATTCTAACTTATTTGTTCTCCTTTCGTTTTTGAGATGAAAGTGTTCACTGTCAAAAGTCAAAACAAATTAACTCTAAGTCTCTAATATTTCACATGGTTCCCTCATCTCAACATGCATGCCTTATATGAGCTTGTTTTAGAGAATCACTCTAACGGGTAAATTGATGAAGAAACATCTTTTCTCTAGTTTTCTTCAGCTGAATGAATCAAGGCGAAGGAGAACAAATAAAATGGATAAGTATACTAATTAGCAGGTGTTTGCCTGCCTTTTGTTGAGGGGTGTGCAGATGTTAACTGTATGCATCTGATTTACAATAAGTGAGACTTGTCTGCTAATTAAAATGTACATAATAATATTTTTAACTTAACAATAAAAATTCATTAACTATGCTTGTCAGTGATCTGGAACAAAATCTGCTTTGAGCCTTTGACTGGAGTCCTCGGTTGAGGAGTCACCTAACTTATAGTACTAGAGCTTAATGTAATATGCATACTCCACTTAATCGTTAGACTTATGAAGCTGTTCTAATATTTTACACATATAAGGCTGCTTATGCATGAAAGTTAATGCCTATCCTGTTTTGGCGACTTCACCCTCCTTAGCTGCTTCCCCTTGCTTGGTTTGGTATTTAACATTTTCATGTGCTTTCCTTTTAGCAACTCTTGCCAAGCCTCCAGAGTTGATGAGATATCCCTTCAAGACAATTTTGAAACTCCTTAAAGTTCTACTTTGTAGTAATCTCTCAATGGTTTCTATCACCTTACTTATTACCTGTTACGTCCACATAATGGGTACATTTGGTATTACTAAATTGACATCATATAACCTAGCTATGTACTTCTTGCTGTAGGGGGATTTCATGGTAGAGATAGAAAAGAAATCATAACTTAGATTGAGTGTTAGGATCTTATATTATTTTTAAGCTTTTGTCCGCTTCTTTTACTTGTTTAGGCTAGGGTTTAAGTTTATAGCCTGTTCAGCTTAAAGTAGGAGCATTTTGGGTATTTTAGATATATTTGCTGTTAATGGCCACAATTAGGTTTTCTGGTTTGCTTTTTGGAGTTATTGTATGTTTTAGAAGAGAAAAAACTGCAATTTGCAGATTCTATTTATTTCTCTTGGCTTCTTGATTTAATTGAAATGAAAATTGAAAAAGGAAATCTAGATACAAAAGTTGTACATACCATATGAAGAATAGTAGACAAAGTGACATTCTTTACAAAGAGCAAACAATGAAATATCCTAACAATCTATCATACCAGGAATCTCATACGTGCTCCAAAGCATGTACAAAAAAGGAAAAGGTCTCCCGAAGTTGTGTACGGAAACTGGTTGTTTCTTACGTATATGCTTTCGCTGTTCCTATTAAAAAAACATATATTCCTTCACCGTGATCGATACGAAAGCATGTTTTGGAATCCTAAAGTTGGTTGCTACTCCATGACCGGAAAAGTCACTTTACAGAAAAACAGATATTTTGAACTTTAATGGATATAGCCTGCGAGTGGCAGCCCTAGAGCAAGAAGTGAAGAACTTGCGAAGAAAGCAAACGTAGCATGGGATAAGGATGAGGATTCAAAGGCACTATAGTTGCACAAGTTTTTCACTCTGCAAGGTTTTTTATTTCTTTCCACCGATCCGAGAAGTTTTTTCTTTTCTTATCACTGTGCAGGTTCAAATACCAAAATTAGCATACATTTACAGGAAAAGGAGAGACTTGAACTTTAGTGGATCTAGTCCAGCAGGTGGAAGCTTTAGTGTACAAAGTGCAGAAACCTATGAAGGAATCAAATGTACTATGGAATAATATGACAAGGACAACAATTTAGCTAAGTTGCTCCGACATGGCAGTTTAGGTGCCGCACCTGTGTTGACACGACACTAGTATGGGTGTGGGTATGGGATCCGTACCGGATATGATCAAACAATTTGGCTACTTTGACCACGACGGACGGAAAAATTTGAGACAAGATACAATTTGATTCCCGAAATCAGAACGAAAACTACGGTAAATTTGAAGAAAATAGCATACCTTATCTAGGAATTTTTTTTTTCTTCAGGAAATCAATCTTTTACTTATCTTCAACTTGAGAATAAAATTTACAAGCTATACAAGTATTCCACAAAATTTCTCATATTATAGAGAATTTTTATGTTTTTTGAATTATTTTGGACTTCTCGAGGAAGAGGAGGAGAAAGAGACATGGGAAATAGCTCATTTGACGCTGATGTGGACCATGTAGAAAAACAAAAAGGCATTTAAGGGAGTTGAAAACTCTTTCCAACAAAGTGCAACACTTTCTTATCTTCTGAACACTTTGGAGAGCATTTGATATTTTAGTAAGTATTGATGACAGGATGCTATTTGATTTTATGTAAGATTTTCTACTATTTTGTAAAGTAAACAAGTATTATGTGGGAATTTATCTTACTATGTTAACAAATTATATCCTCATTAAAAAGAAGTTGGGAAGTCTACTTGTAAAGGGAAGAAAAAGGGATACAGAAACTTGTTTGGAAATCCTAATGATCAAGGAAAACAATCATAAATCAAGTAAGGATGCAGTGGGATTGCACAACAGAGATGGGTAATTAGGGATTGCTTGTACGTAATTCAGGTTGGTTTTATATAACTTTAGATTAGTTTAAGCTTTTGTAAGCTGTTTTGTTTTGTTTAGCATTTGTGTTATGTTACAAGCCTTTTCAATTTAAATTGGGGTATTTTGGGAAGTATATTAGTCTTTAAAACACGAGATTAGGGTTCCCAATTAGATTTCGGCAGTTTTGTTTTAGAAGAGAAGAAAGTAAAGTTTGTTTGCTTGTTTAGTTGAATTTCTCTCTAGTTTCTAGTTTCTACTTCCATATTGGCTATTGATATTGCTAGTTCTGATATTTGCTGCGCCAGTTCGTATCCCAAGTCAGTCCTGTGATTTTCATATCAACAATGAATTTCCAATATATTTTCATTGTAAAAATGCAGGTGTCAATCGGGAAATCAAAAGGACCAATCATGACAAAGATAAAAAGTTGAACATTATGCGTGGGTTTATCTTTTGGTTAGAGGTGAGGGCTACCTCTTCTTGGATGTCCTTGGTAAAGAACAGTAACAATTTTTCTTTTTCTCTCTCCCCTTTCATCTGTCTTTTGTATTTTGCTTCATTTTATTGTTGCAAGCTTGCAGGTAAACTGATCTATTTAAGAAACTAGACGTTTAATTTTCTCTTAGCATGGGAAGTGTCTATTAGCGTGGAAATACAGCAAATTTCATATACAACAACTATTACTATGTGGCACTCCTAGTACTACGTGTTAGCTATATGAATTCTCACAATAATTGATTGGGATATTAAACTCATATATATATGTTTCCAATAAGTAGGTAAAATATGTTAATGAGCCAAAAGAATTATGAAGCTAAGGAACTGTAAGATGGAAAAGAATGTACTCGCAATCGGTCTTGATGATAGAATAATCTGCAAAGATATCCTTTTCAAAGCAAATTTTGTGGTGTAAGCGAAAACAAGGACCTTCCTCATCAGAGGGAGTGTTACCAAAAGCGATCATGTGCTTAAAATCTTAGATATACCAACAATTTTCTTTACTTTTGACAAAAGAAATTGGTAATCCTCAAAGAGTTGAGGGAACTTTGTCTTATCTAGAATGCAACTTATTGCAGCTTCCTACTTGTTTATGATGTTATAGATTGGGTATTGCAGGTCTTTAATATGACCAGAATTAGTAAATATAACAAGAATCTATACCTTGTAAATGTGGAAAATTTCCAAATCCAAATAATTGTGTAATTAGGAGATTTATAGGCTCTAATCACATGTTTTCCTTTTTTAGATTACTTGTAAAACATTAGCTCGTCTAGATTATGATAGCTCTTGAGTTATTGGTGAACCCTTACTTTCTCATGAGATGTACAGAAGAAACGAGAGCTGTCTACGTAGTCCTGAGCAGAAGTCCATGCCCAGGACCAAAGTGCCCTATAAGTTGCAGATAAGGATCATTCATTGCTCAATGTTGCATCATGAATAAAAACAAATACATTTAAGTTATATCCACTGAGAGTGTAAAGAAGTCTTGCACCGTCAGTGGTAATTAACCTATTATAGTAGGTTACATACCATTTATTTTTTATCACGAATCAATGCTTCTTAAATAGAGTTACCTTTTAAATGACCTGAGTTTGTAAATATCTTTTTTATGTGTTTAGTACATAGACCTTATTGCATGAAAAAGGAGGTAAGGTAATGATGGAAAAAGAAAGATTAGCTTCTAGGACCAAGATAGTATAGTAGTTAATGACCAGCATCCAGAAAGGAGAGGGACCTTACAAATCCATGATTTCCCTACCAAAGATTGACTTCAATGAATGCTCCCTTTCTTTCAGTGTGTAAGGTGTTCCTTGCAGTTACCATACATGTGGATCTCCTCTCACCCAGTCCTTAATGGAAAACACGGTATATAGTACCCTTTTTCCCACCAAACCACTTGCCTCTCGAATCAATGGTTGTTGTTGTCCTATCAGCCATTTTGCCTCTAAATTATGAAGTGCTGCATTTTGACCTCAAAAAACCATGAAAAACTACTCGACTTGCTCAAATTTACTTTTTGGACTCCAAATTTTCAAGGATGACTGATCTAATCTCTATGTCCATGTATCATTGCCAAAGTTCTGATGTCTATATGAGGTTTGAGCCAATAGGAGTTTTGATAGTTACAAATATGGACCAATAGAACGAGAACACGGACCAAGGGAGTATCGTGGCCCCATCTCAAATAATAGCATGAAATTATCACACTCATTATTATCTTTTACATTTTTACTCATTCTGCAAGAAGCTACTGACTTACACTAAAAGTACATTTTGTTTCAATTATCTCCAGCATCTAACTCGGGAAGATGCGTTCATGCCTTGGGAGGATACAGAATGTCTTCGAACAATGCCTGGATCTTCCTAGAAGTCGTTACTTTTTCCCATTCATCAATACCCCCGTGTGCCATAAAACAAGTGATAGAAGAAGAAAATCAAAGGTTACTATTTCAATTACTAGTGGAGGACAATTTTGCTGTGCATTATCTTTTTGGGATAAGTGTTGAAGACAGACAGAGAGAAGATCATATACATACATAGGAGAGAAGGTGAAATTTTCATTTACATTCTTAAAACTTGGTTCTGCTACTCATTGTTTCAATATGGTCAACATTGTTACCTGAATTTACTGGTTTACATCTTCCATTTGGCCATTGTAATTGAACCCAACTCTTGGTTTCCCCATGCTGAAGTTAAGAACTTTTGCATTCATGTTGTATTGGATTTCTCCAGTATATAGAAGCTTTCTTATGTAGTGCTCTATGTCTGAACCGATCAGGCGAAGCGTGTATTCCGTCAATGGAGCTCCCTGGTCCAGAGTGAAACATTGGAGTTAGCATCTCAATTTGGTAAAAACATTGAATTTTTAGAATTTACGCTTTAGTAGTACTCTATCACTTCTTTTATAACATACAATAAGGAAGTTCCTATCAACGACTTTCTTTTATTGCGAATTTCTTACTAAAATAATGCGACATTGCTTTTCCCAAAGAAGTATCTTGTCTAAACTGTAACTCTTCTGGAGTCTTGCTAAATCCGTAATTGTTACATAATGCAGCAAAGTTTAGGTTAAGGCACAAGAAATAGAGAGGAAGAAGAAGACGATACAAATCTGTGGCTCAACAAGAAGATAGCCTAAGACAGTATCGAGTGGATAAGATATGTTTTTGAAATAATTTTCCAAATACAGCGTAAAGTATAGGAGTCAATATTTCATTGTTAAGAATAAAGAGTCAACTCTTGGAAAAGTAACGGTGTTTATAGGAAAAAGTTTCAAATTAGAAAAACGGCAATAAATGAAGAAAATTTACCTCATAGTAAACATGTTCTTGAAAATTGAGTTTTAATTGTTTTGATTAAAACTCTGAAATATTTATCATTATTAACACGAGAAGTTTCATTAAATATTCCCAAAAATAACAAAGACGTGAAACAGAAAAAGTATTAAAATTGAGTTTAACTTGTATACACTCAGATCACTTAAAAATAAATACCGTATATGTTAATTATTCATAAAAAGAGTGATTAGTACGTAACCTACAAAATAAAATAATTTACCTGCTATAACATGTTAAAATACAGTAATAATGTAGAAGAATTTACACTATCACTATGAGTATATATAAGTAAGTCCATTAAAATTTGTAAAAAGGATATTCTCTTTTCAAAAAGGAGAAAGTACCTCATAATGATCAACGAGTTCTTGGAAGTAAGAGTAGACCTTGGTGCAAGTATCATCAGTCCAAACAAATTCATCAGTAGGGTCAAGGATAAGTGTAAGTTTATCCATTTGTGTTTGGTCAAAAGCAAAAGTTTCAGGATCAATATAAGCTGCATATATTCTAACATGTCTAGTAGCAGAACTTAGCCACTGTCCTCCATATTCTCTGCTCATGTTCTTGCTCTTCACATTTATCTGTGGTTCCACTGGCCTTGGCTGTTTCATTGCTTGTTCTTCTTGTTTTTCTTCTTTCTTTTCTTCATCTTTTTCTACTTTTACTTCTTCAACTTCTGTTTGCTGTGCTGAAACTGATAAAAAGTTTCTTCTTTTGAGTTGTTTGTTTCCCTTTGTTGTCCAATAACCTAACATGCTGAAATGAGTTGAAGCCATGTATGTTGAAGTTGCTGCCATGGCTAAGGGCTTTTTTTTCTTTCTTTTGGGACCTTTTATTATTGTGCTTTGTTTTCTGTGATTTTTATATATGGCGTTTTCTTGAATGTTGGTATTAGGAATTAGGATATTGATATGTTCTCATTTTTGTGTGGATAAGAAATGCTTATTTGCACGTTGGGTTTTTTTTCTTTTGGTTCTGTGGCTGTATTTAATATGGAGATAAAAGGTGAAGTACAAGTTCCACTATTTTGTACTTTCCTTGCAGCTTCAGATTCTTTATTTACGCTGTTTGAACTTCGAAGGTTTGGTTCGTGAGTAATATAAAAGCGTTTACGTTAAAACCATGAAAATTAAGTATGGGAATTTACTTGGGTTTCTTGAGAATTGTAGTCTGTCTGAGACAATTATATTCCTCTGCCGATATGCTGTTATTAGTTGCTTTTTTCTTCTTTATTTTGAGATAACTTCTCCCGTATCTACTCAAAATTTCGTAGTTATATGATTTGGAATTCACACTTATAGTTAATAATTTCACTTATATAGGCAACACCAAAATCTATGGACAAATTGAAGTTAAAACCTAGACTCGGTGTTTGCTAAGAATTTTATACGTTTCTGGAAAACATAGATATCGAGAACCAGCTTGATATCTATGTGATGAAAAATAAACAATAACACATTTGGCAAAATTAGCTAGCGTTCTTAATGGGAGTATTCTATTGAGTTCATCACCGCATTAAAAAAAAAACAATATATATGTATGCTTTATTATCAATCTGTCATCTTTTAGCAAGTAAAAAGGAGATAGAAGCCAAGCTTTGTAAGCATAAATATAATCTCAGCTGATTGATTCAAAAGGTTCATTGTTGCCTTGATTTAAAAAAACAAAAATTAAATTGACTTGGAAATTGCTAACATTGAAAAGTAAAAGAACTGAAAGCAAAACCATCCAATGAGAGATTTGCATCAAAATTTCATTGCCTTTAATTTTTTATCACAACAGTTTCTCACATTCTCTCGCACACAACACACTTGGCGATACAAAATATTGCCTAATCCTAAGACCTATACCTAAGTAATTAACTAAAAACCTAAAGTTTGAAAACAAAAAAAATTGCTCTGCACTAGCAGAACAGTACAATAAATCTAATTACAAAACTTCATTTACAAACACTAAGACTCCTCCGATACATAGCTTGCAGCCATATCACTAGGGCTATCCATGAAGGGGGATGAATCTACAGATCTATTCCTATTTATCAGTTTCATGGGTTTAATAAGCTCATCGAGATCATCTAGTTGCATCTCTGCAGAACTACTTTCGCAAAGTGGTGGTTCCTCACTTCTCTGGTCACTAGTCAGTTCCTCTTCATCACTGCCATCTAGGCTAATAAAATCAACAAACTTCCCCTTCTTAAAGAATATGTCGTTGTTCCCCCAAGCAGAAGCTTTCTCCGATCCAGCTGTAATGTGCTCACTACTGTCTATGTGCGGAGAGCCAAAATAACGACCTCGACCATTCTTCATCTCGCTGGAAGCTTTCCTTTTCACACCCTTCCTTTTGTTTTTCGGATGGTGAAGCTTGCATTTCGAACCTTGGCGACAGTTGCCAGTTGCTTCAAAATCGGGGCAGACATAGGTGTGTTTCTTCCGACACTGCATGTTTAGAAACATGATCCGTATCAAAAGTTTCAAGATTAGTAGGGTCGTGTGTTTGGGATGATCCACATATCTATTGTGCAGAAAATATACTAACAATAATGAGCTAGTTGCATTCAGACCAACAGAGGGGGAGGGAGGAAGCAGAAAAAGAGGTCAAAACATTTGGTAAAAATCATGTCAGGCAGTAAAAAATAGTCAAATCAAGGAGCCATTTCAAAAAAGAATGACAAGAAAGGATCGGGAAGGGTCCACCCAACTATTTCATTCCGGGGGGGAGGTGCGGAGACTAGCCTCGTTACATCTTAAACAAGTTAGGGATAGGGACTAGCAAAGTTCTAACCCTAGGATAGGACCTTGTCTAGGAACCAATCAAACATAAAACTGGGTAAAGAATATAAACTTCAGAAGATCTTCTTTGCTTGAGCATCCAGACACTGCTTGTAACTTAAATTATTTCTACGTGGCACCTGGCATAAATTGGCTGTGAGCTACTATTAAAGAGCTTATCTAAGTCGAATTTCAATTCTTTGAGATGTGTATCATACAGTTGGTAATGATTCATTTGGAAGCAGCAAACTGAAAACAAAGAATACCTCATTGCCATCAGCACAATAGCCCCTGAGAAAACCTTCACAAATAGAGGCATTTGAATTCACATTTACGTGTCTATATGGACAATTCTCATTTGAGCATATTCCTGCCCAAAAAAATACAAGTTAGTGTTCTCACATTTCTTTAGATTAAACTGAATTAAAATATAATAACACCCATAAATGTAATAGCACCAACCTTGCAGAAAATAGGAGCAGTCTTGCATTCTTTCAGGAATAACCTAATAATATATGAGGTGAAAACAAGTAAAAAGGCAAAAACTAATCATGCTGCAACCACATCAATTATAGGGTTTGAGAAGTATCATACCTCATGAGTCAATTTACAATTAGTGTCAGAGCAAGAACCATTCAGAAATTTAGTGCAGACAGCGATTTTAGATGGATCATGAATGTAAGGACATTTTCCATTATCCTTGTTACATTTGCCAAACCTTGTAAAAAACTGGCAATACTGTTTTTTTCTTGCCAGCCGAATTCTAGCAGTGTGCAAACTCCAGCGTACTTTCTCACTCGCTAAGATGCGTACTCGTCTCTTTGGGTTTCGAACCAGCTTATTACCATTGCCAACCCGCACATACCTACAAGCAGTTTCGAGCATTTATATTATTTGTTTACAAGTAAAGGCAAAGGTTTATTCACAGTAAGCATTTTTATTATCTTATTTCATCTCTTGGAAGCAAGACCATAGTTTTTTAAATAATTCTTTTCCTATTGGCCTTACTTTTGGAGTACTCCTATTTTTTCCGGATTATATAAAATCCAATAGAAAAGATTATGATATGAAGCAACACGCTTAAGTACCAAGAATTACTAACTGCTCATGATTTCTGAAAGCAATATGTGATTTCAAAATAAAGTTATGCAAATAAATATCACAGTTATACCCAAAAAAAAAATACTAACTCAACGCCTGAAGATTAACCAGCACTAGGTACATCATTGATAATGAATTGACAACAATAGTATTTATACGTACTCATCATTCCCAATTAATAATCTTTTGGGGATGTAAGATTTCTTCGCCTCAGGAACAACTGACACCGATGGTTCCTCATCTGTCCATAAAATATGAAGAAATACGAGGTCAAGTTGCAAATAATGTCAAGAGACAGTTACAAGAAACAAATAAAAAAAATCACCGAAACCACTCTTAAAATTAAAAGAAAAGAAACGCCCTTCTCAAAGTTAATAACTAATGTTTAAAAATAGCAGAGTAACTTCTTTTCTAGAAATTATAGGCTCTGATAAGTCTACATTAAAACAAATGTGAATGTGGATTATTTCATCATTTTATTCTTTCTCTAAACTAATAGTCCACTATCATCTTTCTTCAGTTGGAACTGGAAAAGTTAGATGCCTATTAAGTTGACCTCTTGCTGATTTTCTCGCTGCCTCAACGGAAACCAGAATCTTCTAGCTAATCCATGCCATGATCGTTTCAGAATCATGTATCCACAATCATTTTACTAAAACAAGTCCACTGACATGCGATAGCTCAAATGGAAAAATAGTTTTTCATCATTTCTGCCCATTAATTAGCACAACTGAAAAGGCTTAATCCTGCACGCAGAACGCATGCCCATCAACATTTTGTATTCATCTGAGCAATTCAACTCTTCTATGAGCTACACATCAGCATTGTACCAACTCTTCTATCAGATTCTTCCATGAGCAACCAGGTTCTCTAATAGCTTAGATCCAGTTAGGACATGACTAAGTTGAAACATTTTAGTAGTAACTTTAAGTTCAACAACTATCTTAGAACATGAATATCTGCTTCTTCCTTTTTTATGAAGTAAGTGATTTCATTAAAGAGCCATCAAGAAGCAAAAGATTACACGGATACAGCTTTTAAATCACAAAAAGGGATTCATAGCTACTGTGTCTAGACTAAAGAGCTAACAAAATCCAGGAAGTGCTCTAAGTTATTTACAGAGGTCAACTTGGACCGGCTAAATAGACTAACTAGACGTCTAGTCTAGAATTGTTGGAAGTTGAAATTCCATCAAAGCATCTACTGTTTCTTTCGGTCCATAAACACCAAAAAATACAACCGGAGATCATCTACTAAGTTGTTGTTGTTGTTTGTCAACTGTCCATAAACTCCAGCTTTCATGGGCATCCTTGTCGGTAAAAGGCATGACCCAAGAAAGGCAAAAAAAAAAAAAAAAAAAAAAAAAACAGAACGTACTCCGAAGATCTGTGGCAACTGGACAGTGCAGTAACAGGTGGTTGATACTTTCTTTGTTCAGTGACATGAATATCTACTTTTCTGCATGTACTTCTTTGTTCAAACTTCATTGTAAGGGCATATTTTGTAGCGAAATAAACAAAGGCATTTCACCAATCCTCTATATGGGTGATGGAAGCTTTAGCTTAGCCAAACACCATCTAAGACCTGCTGCTCATTGCTTTGACTATCACAACCAAAACCAAAGCATCCTCTAAAATCATATTGCAGGTACGGAACTAGAAGATGATAACTTAAAGGAACTTAATTCTCAGAGCAACACATATAGGACAAAAGTGGCAAATTCGAATCATAATTGAAAAAAAACTAAATTAAAAAAAAAAAAGTGGGAAGGAGAAAAGAATTCAGCAAAATCAGGAGAAGACCACCTGAAATTCTCTGTAGTGTCTTCCCAGAAGGGTCCATCTTATACCGCTCGCAACCAATACGGAATATCCTTTCTCCTGTAAAAAGTTAGAAGACCATCATAGTGCTCAATTAAAAAAGAGTACAACATTCTGAAAAGGTACATAAAGAGGACATAACTTTTTTTGGTAAATATTAAAAGGGCATAACTGATACATAGGCGTCCAATAACTTTGTACAATATTTCGAGAAACTTGAAAGAAAATGAATACGCCACACCAGGGTAGAGAACTGGCCTACCTGGGAGCAGCTTTACACTATAAAACTTACGAGAGACATTATTTCCATTCATTGAGCCAGCATTAGAATCATCTTGTCCCCTTTTCCTTTTGTCAACAGCAGCAACTGCTAGTGCAGCTTCCTGCGAAAAGGCTTTCACTTTACAAAATGTCTTACACATCCACTTGCAAATTTTACAACCCCAAATAAACCTGGGTGCAGCTGGACGAACCTCAGCAGCCTTCTTTGACCTTTGCTCCAAAGATTTTGACCACTTGAGACTAGAGCCAGAGACACTTAACACCTTAGATCTTCGTAAAGATAGTCCATGAATTGATCTTGTGTATATTGTCTCCCGCTTTCTTGAGAGCAGCATTTTCCGTCTAAAAGAAAATATACTTTAGGTATGAAGTTTGACGCCAAAAAGAAATGAACGAGCATGAAATGATTCCCCACCTGCTAATAGATATGGAACTGTCACTTGGAGAGGAATTCTGGAAACTCCTCCGATAGCTAGCTCTTTTCCACGGAAACAAGTAAGGCCAAAGCTTCTCATATTCTACAGCGCTGCCACATTTCCTTGATGACTGAGTATCACCTAATTTCCAGACCAATGAGGACTTTGACCATTTAGAGGTCTTGGCTAAACCTGCAAAGGGTAATTTATTTAAACCTTGTCTGATTAGTAAAAATTTTGACATTAACTTACAAAAATGGTGGTGTTCTAGGCCAAAACAAGTAGATAATCTGCTTGAATAAAAAAGGGTGAACCAGTCTTGAAGTAGCTTTGTTTTGAAAGCCAAATATGATGAGCTGTTTTTTAAAAACACATCCTTACCACTCAAGCTTTTCATAACTCTTCGGGTCGGAACTACATTCTTTGCCGCGGAAACTCTCTGCTTCATATGATTACTGCTAGATGCACGAATCAGTTGATTCTTTCTCCTCTTATAGTAGCCATCGGATGATGTCTGGGTCTTATCAGAAGCTGCAACTAACTGATTTGATCTTTGCTTCACATAAACTATCTCCTTTCCAGAAGTGCCTTCATCTAATATATTCTGGCTTTCGGAATTGCCTCCCAAACCAATTTGACATTCAGGAAGTGCAGAAGATGTTGAAGGATGCTCAGAAGGCTTCAGCGCCAACATATTGTCTGTAACTGCCAAAGGATTTGAGGTAGCAATACTACCAGTTCCAGGATGATCTACCACTGGAAAAGAGGCAGACTTCAATGTAATGCAACTAAATGATTCGCTTTGTGGAGGGGTTTTGGTCCTCTCTGAAGGAGCATTTACTTCTGGATTTCCCCTGCAGCTGGGTGAATCAGTTATCAATGTCTTATTCTCATGTTTTCTCTTCAGGTCATTCACAGCAGAAGAGTTCAACCGGAAAACTGAAGAACTTGGAGCATGGAATCCTTGGGAAAGGGAACCAACAGGAGGAGGCTTTCTGACAAGACTGTTACCCTTGCGAATGTAAGAGCCGGCTTTCCCAATGTCCTTAGGTAAATGGCTTTGTGGAGGTAGAGAGTTCATTTGGGAACCTCGTCCAACAACTGAGAAAGAGCTATTACCAGTTCTATGCCATGTCAGTGGCTTCTTCGAAGTGGGCACATTCCTTGAAGTGAGAAAATTCGATGGGCGAACAGAGAGAACCCTAGGACCAGCAGCACTTTGCTGGTTTGCACGCAAATTTGGTTTCCAACTCAGTGAAGTCACATTTTGGGTAGATGTTACAGTATTCTGTGATGATAATGGCACAGTATTTAGATTAATCAAAGGAACGGCACCAACTTTATGATCTGAACTTCTACCAAACCTAGAAGTATCTGATGATGTATTATCAAACTCAGAAGTATCTGAAGATGTTTTCACCGAAGAAAAAACATGGTCATCAGCAGTAATGGAATTTTCATCAACATTTTGGGCTTTTTCAATAACAATTTCATTGGACATTGATGACTTAGCAATAGGTTCCTCCAAGAATGAGTTGTTAGGTAAGTCTTCAGGAAATGACATGAGCGCCGACATATCAGACACAGACTCCATACCTTTGGCACTTACTTTCATTGCGGACACACAATTTGAATCAGAAAATAAAGAGTGATTATTTGCCAACAAAGGCAGACATGCCTTGTCAAGCACATAATTATGGCTTTCACAACCTTCTGGGGCCAACTTTTGATCTACTCCAAGGGAGGAACCTTTGTCCTCACTTATTCCATAAGCCATTCTTAGCGTCCCAACAGATATAACTGAAGTTGTAGTATCTTGTCCAGCAGCTCCCAGCTGAGAATTGTGAGCAATGACCTGCTCAACATTCGAAAAGTGATCCATCAAGCCATCTTCAAATGGCTCAGCCTGACTTACATCCTCCTCAGCGGTACTGCTCTCAAGCAATATGACTGATGGACGAGATGGTGGACCATCATCCAAATCAGACAATGTATTTCGAGATTCTAATTTCATTGCAGAAACATCATCGATCAAAGGCGCTGTAATTGGTATGCTAGAAGCTCCCTCGTGGGTGGTAACACACAAAACAGATTTAACCAGTCCCGGCGAAGAAACCTCCGTTTTCTTGGGACTCTTGATAGAACATGAACTGGAACCATCTTTAAAACAATCCTGAAGTGAAAGCTCCACTTCTGAAGGCCCCTCATGTGAAGGGCCCCCCTTTAATGAGTCACTCCCATTACCAGGAACTGTAACTTCCTCTTCTATAGAGGCATGATCTCCTCTCAAACAACTGAAACTTTTACGTTGGCCTAGCAAAGAACTACCTGCATTTTCCTCTGGCTCACTCACCTTCGTAGTGGGCAAAACAGACTCGTCTTCCGTAGTCTTTCTCTTCCTTGTGACATTAGGTAAAGAGTCATCATCCGCAATAATCCTAATATCATCTGCAACAGAAACCACAGCATTAACGGATCCCTTAGTATGGCTCACCTCAGGTGACAATGTAACTCCATCAACACATGATTTTGTTATACTACATACAAAACTACCGGCTGTTGGATCACTATTACTCGAGCACTCTGCACTTAGCAAGTCACTGACAACCACAACTCTCCCAGCCTTAGAAGAATTAAAACTATTGTCATTTCCATCCAAGAAACTCTCTTTAAGTCCTCTCTCAATATTAGTCAGCAAAGGTACAATCTTGGGGTCACTAGATGGCTCCACGGAACCTGCTTCAAACAATCCTATAACAGCAACTGCATTTTCCTTCCCATCAGAAAACCCCAAGTCAGAGACAGAAGAGATATATGTATCTTTAGTTGACGAAGATACTTCATCCTTATGAATTGTGCTCCCGTCTAGGCTTGACAAGACAACATCACCATTTCTTTCTACACAAACCATGGCCTCAGAAGGTTCTTTAATAAGACCATCTTCCGACACTCGGTGCTCATCCTGAGAATGCCCTCCAACATTATCAGCGTTATCCGCACTGCAACTAGTAGGTTTGTTTTGTATTTCGATCATACATGTCTCAGAATTCAACATGGAAGGGCCATTCAGAACTGATCTACTGGTACAATCAGCAAAGTCATTAATTTCAGAGTCCACATTGCTTGAAGAAACCAAGACTTTAGCTGCACCAGCTTTCTTCCCCTCAGAATTAGACTGCTGGACAGACTCATCTTCACTGACAGCAGCCAGTTTTGAAGGTTTTTCTAATTTGCTAACTACTTCATCCACAGGCAGCTTCATACTGACATCCTCGAATGTAGTCATATCATCAGATCTAGTTCTCTCTACCAATTCTACAACACTTTTAAGCTGCTGACGGACAGAACATGCTCTGTTCAGTAAATCAGTGGCATTATCAGGGTCAACACCAACTTTTTTAGGGGCCGTGACATACTTCTTCGTGGCTTTACTCATATTGACATCCTCGAGTGTAGTCATATCATCAGATCTAGTTTTCTCTACCAATTCTACAACACTTTTAAGCTGCTGACGGACAAAAGATGCTTTGTTCAGTGAATCGGTGGAATTACCAAGGTCAACACCGACGTTTTTAGGGGTCGTGACTTTCTTCTTCTTGGCCTTCTTCATATTGACATCCTCGAGTGTAGACATATCATCAGATCTAGCTCTCTCTACCAATTCTACAACACTTTTAAGCTGCTGACGGACAAAAGATGCTTTGTTCAGTGAATCAGTGGCATTACAAGGGTTAACACCAACTATTTTAGGGGACGCGACTTTCTTTTTCGTGACTTTCTTCTTCTTTCTAATCTTGCGTTGAGGTGCTCCACCCTTTCCAACATGATTACCACCCTGATCCAAAATCATGATCTCTGGAGATCCCTTGCTTTCTTGGGTTACAATTAAATCATTTGTCCCATTGGAACTCAGCAATGCACTTCTCACAACAGGAACTGTAACTTTATCTGGCAAACATTTAGATTCCTTGTTGGAATTCAAAGTACCATCAGATGCATGTTCACCAGTAGAATCTTTAATTTTATCTGCCAAATGTTTCGACTCCATGTTAGAATCCAAAGTGCTATTAGATGTCCGACCCGCAGAAACCGTAACTTTATCTGCCAAACATTTAGACTCCTTATTAGAACTCGAACGACGACCAGAATCAATTGCTGAACCATCACCTTTACCCAAATCGTACCCGACTTTCTTCATTGGAGAATCAGAGAGATTCACTTTTCTAATCTTCTTACATCTAGGTGTTTCGCTTCTGTCTGAGTCATTGGCTGGGCTTGACACCGGGGCCATAATAGCCTTCGCCACAAGTGCATTAGATTTAAATGAAACATCAAGCTCCATCGAACTTCCTTCTCTTCCATCTCTTCCCTCAACCCTTCTCTCCAATCTCTCAAACACATCTTTCTGCTTTCCCCTTACCCCACATCCACCAACACTACTCGAGTCACTGTCCTGATTTCTACTACTCCTGTTGTTATTAGCTTTCCCACATTGAATCCTGAGCAATGCACTCTTCTTCTGCGGAGGAGATCTATAAATTTCCTCCTTGTCCACTCTTAACCTATTGCTAAACCTAACATCACCACCACCATAATCATAACCACTATTATCTAATGACACTCGCCTCGAAGAAGAACCAACCAAAACCTCATCATCAACATTACGACCATATTCCCATCTCTCACCTTCATACCTATCATCATGATGCAACTCATAATTCTCGGCACTCGATCTAAATTCCCTCACAACAATATCCTCTTCCATTCTACGCCTCTCAAGACGGTATCTTTCGTCATCATCATAATCGAATTCCACGCCTCTCAGACGATTCTCCCTCACAAAATCATCGACAATAAACCTAGGAGAATTAGGAGGATGGGGGTTATGATAACGGTCGTTATAAGGAAAATTTGGGTGTTGCGGATGAGCAGGATGGTAGGGGGATTGATCTAGGATTAGATTAGAGGAAACCCTAGGGGGAGAGCGGCAATCGAAGAATTTAGGATTTTCTTGTGGGGGACTATGAGGAGGGAACGAGAACTGGGATTGGCGGTGGAAGGGAGGGGAGGGGGGAGGGAT